TTCTGTGTGGTTCAGTGTGTTGTGTTCTGTGTGGTTCAGTGTGTTGTGTTCTGTGTGGTTCAGTGTGTTGTGTTCTGTGTGGTTCAGTGTGTTGTCATGTTCTGTGTGGTTCAGTGTGTTGTCATGTTCTGTGGGGTTCAGTGTGTTGTCATGTTCTGTGTGGTTCAATGTGCTGTCATGTTTTTATCCAAAAAAGGAAAATCTCCGCCCCATAGATCCCAAGAAAACACAAGTTGCTAGATTTAGTTCTGAGCCCAAAATTTTAGTCGCTTTTTCTTGCAGTGTCGTAATATGTAGTAGTAGCTGGGCCCCCAGTCGAGGAAAGGAATGATCGGTGCATTAACATCAACTGAATATCATTGGTCTACTATACTCTACTGGAGTGGAGCAATAAATCTTGCTAGAAAAGTTACTCATGAGTTTCCAAGTTGCCAATATATATTAGAGGCATAGATTGATTCTCTATTCCGCTTTCGTGGTTGTACAGAAGCGTGTTGATTGTTCCCAGTAGCAAGAAAAAGAGTTTGACAAAGGTGTCCTGAAAAAGCGATGATGGGCATCAAACGAAAGGATCACAGTCATAGCATACTTTACTACAGGCCTTCTCCGCGTGCGGCTGGGGTCTCGGGCTGGGGGCCTACTATATCATTTAAGTATTAACGTCTATTTATCCAGTGGACTCCATATTCAGTCTCTGAGCATTTTTTCCAAAAGTAATTACAATATTTAGTCCTAAGTGACAGAAAAATAAAGAGCTATTTATAGTTATTTATTTACTACTTAGCCCTATTACTATTCGATCTGTTACGCAATTCGGAAAAAAAATGGAAATTAACGTCCACATAAAACAATGTAAACAAGACATGACTTGATCTATTGACTGTACATGCCTTATAAATGAGTAGGGGCCTACTTACCAAGCCAGTTTGGTGTGTCTCTGTACAGTATAATCCATGTGTCCAGGTGAGATAAGGGTGGGAAATATCGAACAATGAACAATGTTTGATTAAACGTTCCAAGTCAGACTGTTGCGTTGCTTTCTGCTGTGGGGTGTTTTTTTTACAAACATTGATCTCATCAATTACTACACTTAACATTTTATCAGTTTCCTTCTTCAATGGATCGCAATGTATATCTGTTCAATTACGATAATTTCAAAAGTTTCAATGCAGGTTCTTTTGAAGAGCGAGGAGTGGAAGCGTAACATTAGTTGTTATTTTTTTAATTGTTTGACAGAATCCGCCCACGTTTCTCTTGCATTTCGATCTCAAAACTGTCAGACATGGTTAACTTACTGAAAGATGTTCTGCAAAAAGAGTCTTTAACAATATTGAACAAAAGAAAAGCAAAGAAGGTCCACTGACATGCTCTATCACAAGGGATATTCAAGCCGTCTCTATCCAAGGAGCTTGTGTAGTGGCCGTACTTTTGGAAGTAGAAGGTTGTCTGTCCGAGTTGAGAAATTTCGTCCATCTCTTCGTCTTTGCGAGTAGCATAGCCAGCAATATAAATCAGCACAGATTGTGTCTCTGTACCAAGTGACTGCTTCAACTCAATTAGATTGTGTAAAGTTTCTGAAGCCCTTTCGTCTGTTTCAATGTTAAAATAGCAATTGGAGCAGGAGTGACCTGGTTCGTCAAGGTTTGAAAGGTGTGCATCAAGAGATAGAAGTAGTCTTGCACTGAGGACTAGATTACACACTATGCAGGACTCTGCCGTGCCAAGGCAAAGCCACGTATCTGCCTTTTTATGATTTTGAGTTACGTCACGCTGCCATTGGAGATACTATGGGCATGTCCCTTCAGCCTTCAGTTACGTCTGTTTGCCACAGTGAACTATCCTATCTGTAGTACAGATACGTCTTCCTGCCTTAGACACACGATGCAGAATGGGTATAGGCGTCCATTTAAACGAAGATGCAAAAACTAATTAAAATTTCTGGCAGATACGTCGGTCTGCTATCTAGGTCAGTAGTGTCATTGGCTGACAAAGCGGCGACGCGACAGACGGGAATCAGGGGGAGAGAAAGGGGGTCTAATGTTTCAGTTGCCTCCCTTACAGAACACACCGTGGGCCCCCTGTCCGAGACCCCAGTCCGAGACCCCAGCCGTCCGCAGGGAAGGCCTGCTAGTAAAGAACGCCATGATCACAGTCCAATTTAACACCAAGTAAAAAAAAGAAAACATGAGGCTAGATCTATAGGAACTACCAGATCTATACGGGTCGCACTCTTAAAACAGTGCTCAGTATTGCGCGACAATGCACGATAGTATCGAACAGAAGAACGACTTGAAATAAACAAACCTGGCGGATTTCCTAAAATTACAGAGACAGAAGCGTCGGCCTACAAAAGCGATCGGCGAAATAAAGAAATTTAGCTTTTTGCAGCTAAACTGTCTCAAAACTGAAAAAAGACGAAGGGCGTCATGATCTGGAGAATATTTTAAAGAATCTTTTGGCGAAAACCGCATGTCGATCGATGCAGCCATTAAAAAGCCTTTTGGATAGCAAAATTGGGCCACCACAAATAGATAATAGATTTGTCGTGTGAGGTTGAGAAATATTGTGTTGAAATACAATGTCCCCTAATGTTGAAAAAAGCAAGAGCAGACCCATATTGTAGGTATAATTGTTGAAAGAATGAAACAGTTTCCAAATGATGTTGGATAAGACCTGAATATTAATGGAACAATAGTTTGTAATAAAGTAGATCTATATTCTGTGAAAAGACTTGTGCTCGACACATCCATAAATCGCGTTAATTCATGAGGAAAACTGACAGAGATGTGGGTCGGGGCATGGAGGATTGTACTAGCTGTCTGTGAATTCTTGTCCTCCATGTTTGTGTTATGTCTGTGCCACATTCTTGTCCTCCATGGCTGTGTTATGTCTGTGCCACATTCTTGTCCTCCATATCTGTGTTATGTCTGTGCCACATTCTTGTCCTCCTTGTGTGTGTTATGTCTGTGCCACATTCTTGTCCTCCATGTCTGTGTTATGTCTGTGCCACATTCTTGTCCTCCATGTCTGTGTTATGTCTGTGCCACATTCTTGTCCTCCATGTCTGTGTTATGTCTGTGCCACATTCTTGTCCTCCTTGTCTGTGTTATGTCTGTGCCACATTCTTGTCCTCCATGTTTGTGTTATGTCTGTGCCACAGGGTTTGCTATTCTCTCATAGGATGTTAGATAAGACTGGAATGTTCTTTGACAAGTGCTATAAGTTCTTTCCACTGACACTAATGTTGTTGATGTTCTTCGACAGGCTCCACTCCTCGCCTCATCCAGCTACGCAAGACTCTGGCTCAGCTCAGGCCGGGGGAGGAAGTGCTGGCTCGCTGGTCGGACGATGGCTGGTACTACAGAGGTCAGTTGTAGGGTCAGGGTCAGACAATGGCTGGTACTACAGAGGTCAGTTGTAGGGTCAGGGTCAGGGTCAGACAATGACTGGTACTACAGAGGTAAGTGGTAGGGTTAGGGTCAGGGTCAGGGTCAGACAATGGCTGGTACTACAGAGGTCAGTTGTAGGGTCAGGGTCAGGGTCAGACAATGACTGGTACTACAGAGGTAAGTGGTAGGGTTAGGGTCAGGGTCAGGGTCAGACAATGGCTGGTACTACAGAGGTCAGTTGTAGG